TCTTTCTTTCGCTCTCTCACATTCTGCTTCTCTCTTACTCTTATACTTTCTTTTTCCCTCTCTCATTTTTTGTCTCTCTCTTTCTCACTCTCTCACTTTCTTTTTCTCTCTCACTCACTTTCTTACTCTCTCTCTCACCTTCTCTTTCCCTCTCTCACATTCTTTTACTCTCTCACCCTTTCTCACTCTCTCCTACTTTTTCTTTCTTTCACTTTCTTTTTCTCTCTCTCTCACTCTCCTTCTCACTCTCTCACTCTTCTGTTTTTTCTATTGTCTCTCACTTTCTCTTTCTCTCTCTCTCTCTCTTACTTTGTCTTTCTCACTTCTCTCCCTTTCTCTATCCTTTCTTTGGTTTTCTCTTTTTTCTCTTATTTTCTTCTTTTTTTCTTTTCACTGTCTCTCATTCCCTCTTTCTTTTTTTTTCTTTCTTTTTTCTCTGTCCCATTTTCTCTTTCTCTCCTTTCTCTTTCTTCTCTCTCACTCTCTCTCCCTCTTTTTCTTTTCTATCTGCTTTCTCTCTTAGTCCTGTAGCTCTAGTGCAAAATTAGTACGAAACAGCATCCCTAATTAATTTGGTGTCTGATATTTTGCACTAATTTTGCAAGTGATATTTTACACTAGAGCTGCAAGACTAATGTAGTTAACAACAGCCACCAGTTAGTGCTGCGCAAACTGCAAGAATAATCATCACACTTAACTCGTACCTCATCGAGTAGTTATGTAAGTAGTTATTAGCTACATTAGCCTCATAGCTCCACAGCAAAAGTATAAAAGCAAACTTCAGACACGTAACATTTACTGTTGGTTGATGGACTACATTTGTGGTGGAAAGGAAGAAGGTTCAGTTTTTTGGTAAACTATCACTTTAACATTTTAAAATCTCTTCATTTCTTCATTCCTTCACTCTCTCTTCCACTCACTCTCTGTTTAAAACTCTGTTTCTCACCTGCCTGTGTGTCTCTACACACCTAGCAGAGGAAGTGTCAGCGTATGCTGGATGCGCTCAGGGCTAAGCCACAGGCCGCAGCCTTTAATTAGCTTCACTCCGCTCTGGGCTCCCAAAACCCTGAGTCTTACACACACACACACACACACACACACACACACACACACACACACACACACACACACACATACACAAAACCCAGCAGGGAGAATTGTTGTTGGCACATTGATAACTCTGAAAGTACTGATGTAGTTTCTAATGCAACATTTATAAAGTTTCCACATACAGTACTAGACCAGCCTTTATTTACTTAATTTCCAGTCAAAACATAAAGCACAAGCTATTAATTTTACAGGAGATATTTCTGAGGAGACAAGATATAAAATAATCCATTAAGGAAGGAAAATAAGTGCGCAGACATCAGATAAACAACATTTAAAGCTTTCATCTTTGAGAGAGAGGAGAAAATCAAGCTGCTTCAGATCTGAAAACATCCACGGGTGTTCCTGTCCATCCTTCCACTATGAGAGGACGACTCAGTGCTATGGGTCTGAAAGGATGTGTAGCTGTCAAGAAGATCTTACTGAGAAAAGGACATTTTGCAAATCAAACAAAGAAACTTCTCTGAACAATGGCCTGACTGTGCCAGAGTCTGGCCCTCAACATCACTGAATGTGTTTGGATTACTTGGTGAGATGGTGAGACGCAGACATTGCTAAACCAACTTCTAAGACTGAACTTGTAATGTGAGTCTCCTAAAAAGAATGGAAGCTGTAATAAAGGCTGAGTGGATACACTAAACACTGATACATCTGATATTATATTTAGCTGCTGATGCTGAAAAATGAATAGCTTGTGCTTAATGGCTGTTTCGACTTGACATAAAAGAAATGAAGGTTGGGCTCTGACTTTTGCACAGTATACTGTACTGTAGTATTTTCAGCCTGCCGTGAGTGAATGAGTGAGATAGTGACCTATTTAGTTAGTCAGTTTGTTTTGTAGTTACAAGTATGGTCCATAAAGTGCTTTACATCCCAAAATATAGTCAAATTAATACTGATAATCAGGTGGATAGTGTCGTTCCATTCACTCAGTTGTACTGAAGTAGATTATTGACGGATGTATGCTGAGTACTTTCTAATGATAATACTTCTATTTATGTACTTTTGCATGAAAAGTATTACTCAGTTACATTTTAGTCATTCATTTATAGTACCTAACAACTTTATGGGCTCATTTATTTGCTCTGTTAGTGACAGAATCTGTATTGCTTTGTGATTGGTTACAGCTTTTGAGATTTTATTTTAGACCCCAAAATGATCCCAAAAAGAGAACCTCTGGAAGAAAGTTCGGTAACACTTTCTATGAATGTCACCTTTGTAAGCATCTATAAACACTTTCATAACATGTTATAATGCATGCATAAGACATTATAAACATAGCTATAAATATTTATAAAAATGCATTATACATTATAGCCATGTTTATTATGCATTATGAATTGTAAACATAATACATTATAAGTACTGATCATAACAAATTATAAGAGCTCATAAGTGGTATTTGTCCACTCTAAGTAAAGTGAAGCGTACTGTACTAAAGCCTCCTCCAGTGTTAAGAGTGAGGCTTCAATTTGAAGTATTTACTGAAGGATTTACTGAAACAGTAAAACATACATAATAAAGCACATTACAGGCTTCAAATGTTTAAACTAAAGAGTTTAAACTTGTGCTGCCATCAATGTTTTACCCAATGTGGGAAAGGTAATGTACACCACCGTTAGCTTGATATTTGTCTTTACTTTACACTCTCCAAGCTGGAACTGACTTCTTTGGCACTGACATTATAACATGTTATTAACACTATTTATAATGCATTATATTAACAATTCATAATATATAATAAACATGGCTATAAAGTGTAATTCAGTGTAATTCATTTTTATAAATGTTTATAATCATGTTTATAATGCCTTATGAATACATTATAACATGTTATAAATGTGTTTATAGATGCTTACAAAGGTGACATTCATAGAAAGTGTTACCGAAAGTTCTAATATGCTAATATTCAAAATCAAGTTCAAATAAATTTGTCCAAAATGCCTCATATATGAAAAGTGACGATCATATGTTGAAGCAGAGGAGTTCACAAATACGTATAACGATGAATAGTTTACAAAAGTATTATTTAATCATTTCTTTTTTCCCCATATACTTTAAATAAAGCATCTAAAAACACCTTACATGTCAAATCTTTAATGTTTAAATGCAGCTGTTACATTTTGCTGCTGTCGGAACAAAACCTCGTATTTTCAAAATGAGAACTTTACAGGAGAAGGGAAAAACCTACTTTACTTTTAATGTAAGTCAATGGAACCAGAGTTATTTCTGAGTAATTCTGGGTCATTTCTTTTGGTCCATTCATCATCAACCTCACCCATAATGTAAAGGACAACAGGCATTTTCAGATTATGCCAAAAACTGAAAAATGTAAAAAAAAAAAAATGGAGATACGAGGTTTTGTTTCAAAATAAAAAAAATGATTAAAATGACTAGTGATTCTAACCTTTGAATGGTAGTGTGTGTGTGTGTGCGTGTGTGTGTGTGTGTGTGTGTGTGTGTGTGTATGAGCTTATGCATAAGTGAGAGGACGTTACTCGACATGATGGCTGAGCAGCAGAATAATAATGATATGAAGCATATTGATATCAAACATTTACATATGGAGCTGGACATGTGTAGCGAAGTGACACGACTGTCACAGCAAACGCATCAAAAGAGGATTTTCACAGACTCGAGCTGATAATCAGAGCTCACAACACGACTACTGTCACACTGCACTGTGAAGAGCAGCAGCCGCTAATAGAGGCCTGAGAGAGACACAGTGAATCTCTGAAACCAAACACAGTCGCCAAATAGAGGTCCCTGAACCGAGAGACAGAGAATAGAGATAGAGGAGGAGAGAGGCAGATAGGAAGGGCGGCATGAGTGAGCCAGAGAGTGAGAGAGAGAGAGTATTTAAACAAGAAATGGAGCTAGAGAAAGACAAGAGGGAGACAGAAGGCGGGGAGGGAGAGAGGGTGAGAGAAAGAAAGAGATGAGGAAGGAAGCAGAGAGAGAGAGGAGAGGAGGAATGAGAGACAGACAGAGAGAGTCCTCTATTTCAGCTCCTGGACAGAGCACTCAGAGAGCTGGATCCTCTATTTCAGCTCCTGGATGGAGCGCTCAAGGGGCTGGGTCCACTGTTCGAGCTCCTGGATGGAGCGCTCAGAGGGCTGGGTCCTCTGCTTGAGCTCCTGGGCAAAGCGCTCAGAATGCTGGGTCCTTTAGTTGAGCTCCTGGACAGAGAGCTCAGAGGGCTGTTTCCTCTGTTTGAGCTCCTGGACAGAGCACTCAGAGGGCTGGGTCCTCTGTTTGAGCTCCTGGACAGAGTGCTCAGAAGACTGGGTCCTCTATTTCAGCTCCTGGGCAGAGCTCTCAGAGGGCTGTTTCCTCTGTTCGAGCTCCTGGACAGAGCGGTCAGAGGGCTGGGTCCTATGTTTGAGCTCCTGGACGGAGCGCTCAGAGGGCTGGGGTTTCTGTTCACCTGGACTCTGTTTTTGGCTGTAAATACTCTAAAGCTCAGAGTTCTAAATGTACTTTGGCAAATTTCTTAGTGGGACAGGCAAAGTTAGCAGTGTGGATGTCCTTCAGGTTGATGTCTGAAGGGCAGGAGGTGGATGTTTTAAAATTTAAAATTCAACAGAGTTGAATGGTTTTTTTTTTATCAAAATACTCATAATATTTCCTGTTTTGAGAAAAAGTGATGTGCTCATCAAAGTGTTGTATCTGTTAGTGATGTTGTGATAGTATTTCATTGGTGAATCTTTTTTTTCTATGGAGATCCTCATTATTATTAACATAAAATGTAGCTTTCTTCTTTACTCTAACATGTACAATCTTTAATCAATAATGTGTTAATAAAGGGGGTTAAAGTCTCTCTAACTCTCTCTCTCTCTGTCTTCCTCTCTCTCTCTCTCTCTACCTCTACCTCTCTCTCCCCCAACCTGCAGATTCATCCTCGGACCTAACCCACAGCTCGCACCAGACTGCGCACGAGTGTCTCCTCTGTCACAGCGGACTAAACCATCCCATCAAAGCGCGGTTTTGAGTGGATTACCTGCGACAGAAAAAAAGCGAAGGAGGATATCTGTCCTCCAAGTAACAGGACATAAAACAAGCTTTAGCTGATGATGTGCCAAGGATGTTATTCTTTATTTTCTCTTCTTTCTTTTTCCGGTAAAAGACAAGCTAATCTGTGTGCTTGATTGAGTCGGACCGCAGGTGACTCCTCTTCTCAAACAGCCGTGACCAATTTCACTACATGTTCTTTCCCCCCAAGTCCCTGCTCACCCCCACCCCCAACACACACATACACACACCCTCCAGGCAGTTACTCCGCGACAGCTTAGCAGGCCTACTTAGCGGGTGTAAAACAATATCTGAAAGACGCTAACCCCCGGCCCCCCCCCGGAGACGCAAAGTGGATGATCCTGCTAAGCTGAGGATGACTGAAGAGAGGATCATAGTGGATCAGTGACGCGAAGGAGAAAATGAGGTGGAAATCGATTCGAGATTTCACGCCTGTCCCTTGTTCTCAACTTTTTGTGGCATTTCTGCGTCCATTAAGGAGAAGCGACCATCTGGCTTGGACTTGTTAGCTTTTACTTGCTAGCATCCGGCACAAACTGGTTAGCTGTCTTGCTAGCTTGGACTCAGCGTCTCTTCAGAAAGAGCCTAACCCCTCGGCCCACCTTCCACCTCCCACACGGAACCCTTTGAGGCAAGGTCAACAGTCCCGCACTCTCCGACTAAGGCCTGGTCTCTTTTTATCTGTCGGCATGCTCAATGTACTTTGTTGGAGCTTTATTCGTACCAAGAGCGACTCTGTACATACGTGTCTGTACATAATATATAAATATATATACATATATACATATGATACATATAAAAAACGTATGACCTTATATGCCCTCACACATGATGTTCACATGGTTTGGGAGCTAATCTGTGACTGCTCTGATTATGGACCCCCCTTATGGAGTACAGTGCCCCCCTCAAGTCAATGGAACACATCCATCCTCCAGGATGGTCACTGCTTGCGATGAAACTCAATCAAGCAGCCCATCCGATCTATCCTGAAAGTGTTTTATCCCATGTAACGTAGAGATTTGCCTGGGTGAAAGTAACTGCTTTGACACATGGTTGCATCTGTTATTCAGCCGTCTGCTGTTGTAATGGGCCAGTTCTGAGAAAAATGACACCCACTGTTCTTGGTTCTGTCCTCCATTCTCTGACATGTCTGACTCCGGGTGTAGTTGTAGACCTGCTAGTTTGTGTCGGTCAATTACAAAAGTACTGAGTTGGTATAAAAAGAAGTAGAAACGATGGACAAACTTGTTGGCTCGTCTCGAACAGATGCAAAATAACAGTAGCTCTGGTAGACACACATGCAGCCTGGTCAGAATCTGATCAGAATTAAAGACAATGACAGTTTCCTACATGTTGTGTTTCTCTTCATTTGCCTCTGCATAATGCTACAATCTAATAATTCAATATCCATTAATGTGTTAATATGTGTTACTGGCATGCTTACGAATCCTAGTGGGATGTCGTCAGGAATGCTTTTACTGGATCTTTCATTGGTTTGAGTGAAGAAATAGGTCAGGTTGTTCTAATTTGGGGTCCAAAATATTATTTATGTATGGATTATAGAAATTCATATTGCCTATTCTAGGTCCAAAAATTGATAGAATTGATCACATTGGTCATTCTGCTGATTGCAGGACCAATATTCATTTAGGAATTGATTACATGGTTCATCTGGCCTACTTTGAGTCCAAAATTTGGTTACACTTCAACATGGAGGGGCATTATAATGCAATTCTCATCAAGTCTCATCAAGCCAGTAACAGTAACTACTTTATTAAGCAGTAACTAGAGTGAATTGTCATTTCCAAGCCTATTTATTTGCATTTCATAATCTTGTGCACAAATCACACCTAAGCACTGACTTTGTGATATGTATACTTCAAGTAAGTCTAAATAAAGACCCTCAATTCTAAAAACCTGTTAGATTTCATTATATTGTCTCGATAAATGATGCACAAAAGATTATGATGTCTAATATTCAATTAAAGAGTTTTGTAAAATGTTTAATTCAGCTTTGCTTAATAAAGTAGTTATGAGAAGTCTTTAATTAGCAGCTACCAGCTAGATAAGACTTAATTAGAGCATTACAAGGGTATTTTAATGTCCCACTATACCAGGGGTCAGTGAACCAAATGATAAAAAGAGCCATTTTGTCCTCTCTACAAAAATCAAACCACCTTGGGAGCAACAACATTTTATGTCCATTTCAATGCAATAATGTTTTACAATCCTGGCTGTAAATATGTCTCAGTATGTGCTGATGTGCTAGTAAAGGCTAAAATATAATATGAAAGAAAACACAGACTTACTTTGCTCTGCTTTAAGCTTTAGCTCAGGTATAGCCGCTTTTCCCACATCTCTGGCAGGATACTGTTCCGCAAAAGTGGAACAGTTTCTTGTAAAATGTCTCTCAACATTTGATCTTTACAAAACTGAAATCAGGTTCTCATTCTGCAGCTTCTTGTTCAAATTTTCCTGTTCCATCTAAATCTCAGCCTGAGGTGCCAGAATGTGACTGCTGCACCATTTAAGGTAGAACAGGAGAATTTGAACAAGAAGCTGGCAAATGAGATACTGACTTCAACTTCGTGACTTTTTAGAGTTTAACAGTTTCTCATTGTAGGTTAAACGTATCAGGAAACCAGCTGGAGTGATTATAAACGCAAATAAGTCTAATAGTCTCCAAATTATCAATGTTCCTCTTAAATCTTTCTCTTTGCCTTTTAGTTAGCTACTAGCTTTCCAAGATTGTCATCTACATTTCTATGATGACCAGCAGTTTGCATGGCAGTCTTCAGGGTTAAAGGGTGAGTTAGCAGTTCTACATTAACTCCAGTGTTTAAGACCATTTATTGTTAAACTGTGTTGAACGATCAGCAGAGCTTTATTTTTACCTACAAATCTAATTCTGCTGTGGAGCCACAACAGGCCAGTAAAAGAGTTGCATGTTGCTGACCATTGCCCTATACTGAAGTGAAATTCAAAATTTCATTTATGGATTGACCACATTGGTCATCTGGTTTGTTATATGTCAACATTTTCATTATAGACTCATTACAATGTCCTATGTATTTACAGATACATTGATCATCTGTTTTTTCAGCTATTTACTAAGCTTTAATCATGTTGAAATGATCTTTACAAGCAGCCTTTCAACCGTCCGACTCTTCTCTTGTAGTGTGTTTGATTCTGCCAACCTGTGAAACAGCATAATGAAGTCATGACAATCCCATCACAATCTACTATCAAGACTTTGAGTCCTGCAGTTTTGTATTAAATCACAGTATGTCCACTAGACTAGTACAGTATGTGGGCTTATCACAATCATAAGCGGACACTCTTAAAAATAAAGGTTCCTAAATGGTTCTTGCCTTGGCTGAACAGTTCTAGGAGAATGTGGAGGTGTGTTAAACTTTTAAGAAGTCTTATTTACAACCATAGTTTAAAGAGACATCCATTGAAAGTTTCTTTAGACCAGTTGTTCACAAAAAAGAACCTCGTTTTTCTTTATGTGTCTGAGCACAGTGATGTAGTCTGTCTGGCCCTGAGGACTAGTTGAGAACAACTGCTTTAGGCAAACAAAAGTGGTTCTTTTATGGCATCGCTCCAGAGAACCCTTTCTGGTGGCTTTATTCTTAAGAGTGATATCACAAGTGGATCCTTAATTGACAGGATTCCCTGTACAGAACATTTTCTTTATCGCCCTTGCTCATTCAGTCTGCGTATTCAATTAAGAAATAATGCTGGGCTGAAAAACACCCTGCTAATTCTCCCAATAAAGCCCCCCCCTCTTGTTATAGTTATCCAAGTCGGCATTCACTCATCCCACTTCAATGCACTTTTATTAATCATTTAATATTAGAGAAGGGAGAAAAAACACTCAGCGCTCTTTGTGTCAATAAACATTTCTGGCAGTGTAGTCACGGAGGGCCTCGTGATTGACAGACGCATGCACCCTCCCAGCTGTTTGCGCACGGTGGAATGCAAACGCAAATGCACATGTTGTTTTTGTTGTCAGTTGTTTATTTTTCGCTTATTTATTTTTTATCTAATAGGATTCGGAGGAGCTCAGAGACGCCGCGCGCCTTCCGAGCCGAACGGAAACCACAGCCGTTTAGACTGACAGAACAGGGAGAATGTGCTTAATATGCAATGGAAAAAAGGAGGATTTTGTCCTCTTTTGGTTCCGGTTTCACAGGAAGATAGGCTGTGAGAGGTGCTTTGGTTTAGCTGGTGGAGGAATAGTCCTCCGTTTCCTCTTTCATAGCAGGTGAAGAATGGTGGCGGCGGCGTGCTGTGAAGGAGGCTGCCGTTACTTTCGGAGAGACTACTGCTTCAGCGCTGATAACAGAATTCATTTACCTCCCACTGAATCATTACCATCACACTGAGGAAACTTCAAACGAGTTCTCCAGAAACGCCGGAGAAGCACTGCGACTTTCTTTCCAGCTACTGGAATAAGTCTATAAAATAGACTTTAATGTAGTCTTGAAAATTGCCAGTAATCGATATTACAAAACCTTGTATCTATTTTTGTCATTTTTCAGTTTTTGACATAGTTTGAAAGTAATTATTGCCCTTTACATTGTGTGTAAATTTTGATGAATGGACCAAAATAAATGGCCTAAAATGACTTGGGGAAAAAGTCTGGTTCCATTGACTTACATTAAAAATAAAGTATGTTTTTCCCTTCTCTTGTAAAGTTGTCATTTTGGAGATACAAGGTTTTGCTCTGACAGTAGCAATATACAGTTTAACACTTACTGTTAATCACAACACTATGACAATAATTGACATTGACAATTAATGCAGTAATCTGTATTTTCATTATGATATTATGATATACATCTTATAGTATAGTGAATATTGATGTCTATTATCCACTCAAACCATAGAAGCATTTGTTTTTTGTTTATCAATAATAATAATCAACAATAATAATCATTATAATCATGTTTTTATGATACATTATGTTATATAACTTAAGGTATAATGAGTACCCTTGTCTATTACCCACAATGCTCCTAAAATAGAAGGGTTTTTGGGTACCATTACCAAAGATCAATATGAATGATTGATAATAAACATAGTTATTAACATTTTGCATGATGATTTGATGTTGTGTTATGATATACAGCTTAAAGCTTAATAAGCAATTCAGTCCATTATCCAATGGGTTTTTTACATTCTTACTATCTGAAATCAATAATTATCTACAGCTTAAAGCTTAATGAGAACTCTTGTCAACTGCCTACAAAATTAGAAATGTGTACATTCTTATCATTTATCAGTCACCAACATTGCAATCAGTATTTCTATAATGATTATACTATGTAATGTTGACTGTACAAAGTACTGGAACCTATGACACCAAAAAACTGGACCTATGCTTTTTCCACAGCCACCAGTGCAGTATTGAAGTTTCCAGTTTCATGGTTTTTAGGCTCTGCTGAAGCTTGGAACAGGATCTAATGGTACTTCAGGGTGTTCTCCTCCATCTTTGGTAAGAAATCAACAAATTAGCAAATTCCTCACTCTTCTAGGTGAAGATAAACTCACCAAGCACTGTTTTGTCCACAGTAAGTGCACCTGAATGCAAACTACAATGAAATGTTGGTGCCAACTGCTATTTTAAGATTTATTACTTTGCAAAGAGTTAATGAAAATAAGATAAGCTAGTTAAGAATGCTAATGTTATTAGCATTTTGCTAGCCTTTTGCTAGATTTTATCCATTCTCAACACTTACCAGTAATCAGTAATCAATACAGTATTGATTAATGGAATATTTTGTCATCACATGATCACAACTTAAA